TAATAATAATAATAATAATAATAATAATAATAATAATAATAATAATAATAATAATAATAATAATAATAATAATAATAATAATAATAATAATAATAATAATAATAATAATAATAATAATAATAATAATAATAATAATAATAATAATAATAATAATAATAATAATAATAATAAAAGCCTTTTTCCATTTTCTCAGCTCGAATGTTGGCAGGAATAAATCTTGGATTGCTTTGCGGCGAGAAATGGATCTTGTTGTTAAAGGCTATATAGAGTTAAGGATATGGTATTTTTTGATTGCACACAATAAAGGTTTACAAGATTGCTATTTTTCTCCTAGAACTTTTTTAATGCCTCCATTGTTTCTTCTTGGAATCTAGCATATTCAATAGCCTTAGTCATAGAATTGGGAGCAAAGGCTTTAACAAAAGGCTTAATCTTTGGATTTAAAGCCTGCCATGAAACTATTTAGAAAATGTTCTTGGGGTATTGTGGGCTTCTGTCATATCAATAGTCCTTTTAACTCCTCAAACTTATCAACACATTCGTATAAACCCCCCTTTTGACACAATCTATTATTTTTTTCCACAATATTACTTCCATTGTCCACAAAAGGACTCCTCATTTCCTTTTCGGGACGTCGTAAAAAAGGCTCATTTTTCCAATTTTAGAAAAAGTTTCTATCACCCACAATCATTCTTTCCTGTACGTCACTTTCAATCACACAATTTTATTTAAATTTTGTGTCAAACCGAATGAGAAACCTTATTTTGGGACCGAGAGAGTATTGCGCATGTCATCTTGAATCTATCACATAGGTCCACAATGAATTCTGCTAATTCTACATTATCCTCAATTCCTCATTTTGAACATAGTTATTGAATAATTCCGGCAATGATGGTATATTTAATCATGCGAAGTACCTTATATCTTCATAAATCATAATGATGTTAAGAAAGAAAAAATGAGATGGAAGAGAAGTGAGTGAGAGTACGAGACTCGAAGAAAATATGAAAGAAAATAATACATTCATCGAATAATTCTTGCAAGGCATACACGCATTCATAAATTGTCCTTTATAACTTTTCCAAGTATAGCCGAAATTCTAAGAAAACATAGTCGTATTCTTCAATATTCGAGAGCTATCCCGTTATAAGTTCTTTGTGAAGTATTTGTGGCAATAAATATTTCAATCATTGACTGGTTATGGAATGATGGTTAAATATAGAGCACCACAAACTTAATATATTCGAATTGAGAATTATATATGGAAAACTCCCCATAATATAAGCCATTTCATCAAAATTAACAAACTCCCTTCTATGTATACACTGTAACAGTAGGGTGGAGTCAAGCAAATCAAACATGGAAATCTTACATACCATGTGCATGTATCTAGAAGTATAACCCAAGGATCACAATTTCTCTCACTCAATATATGTTGAAGGAATACGAAGTACTCTGTACTAAATAACAAAGCGTCAATAGCATAACAAAAAGCATCATAACCCTTTTTTTGATTAATAAAAAAATTAATAATTAATGCATTGTATACAATTCTCTGCTCAACCCCTAATCCTTGGACAAGCAAAATTGGCTCAACTTCTGCTAATATTGGGCATATCAGTATCAATAAAATAAAATTAAGAGGGAAGTCAAATTTACACCAGAAGGGCAGAGGACAATACAAAAATGATACTCCTTTGCAAATACAAAAATAAATTAAATGATTTGACAATTTGGAGTTTTTTTTACTGATACACTATGTTAGCAGCTTTCCACCAGATCCAACTGGTATCAAACATCCCATATTCACAAGACCCAGTCCTGCAAGCACAATAGTTTTGCAGCTTTATCTATAAGAATTCTTTTGTTTCTTTGGGTGCTGGTCAATGTCCAAAAATTCACCTGTAAGCCTGGAAATGCAATTCAAAAGCCAACAAAGATTAAATCCATTTGAAAAACAAAAAAAAGATTGCACTGCTCAGAATCATAACCCAAATAAACCATACTCAACGAAACCGTCCACCCAAGGAGATAGTCCACCTATAAACAGAATGTTGCATTCTGTACGAAATATGCATTACCTCACGCACAAACTGGTTTATTTTGATCTTTTGGTGTGGGAAGGATTTATAATATTGACATATAAAACTTTATTAGGCACAGTTACCCTGCACACATAGGTTGTTTGTTGAAAGATAGACTGAGGGGCCGTTTGCTTGGGCTTAACTTCAATACTGTTCTGTTCAGTTCAATACTGCTTACTTCAAAGTTACTCTACAAAGCATAGCATTTTGAGCCTACTAATTTAAAGAATACTTTAAATGGAAAAATAGCATATTTCTGTCCTTGAATTGGGTGGGCACTTCGCTTTTCTAGTATTGTGTGTTTGTGTGGCTGTCTACACATTCAGGTATACTTCTGAGATTTTGATTTATCAATAAAAATTATTACCAATGGTAATTATTAATGCCTTTTGGCCCAGTAAGATGTCCAATCCACAAATTGAGCACAGAGATAGGCTTGACGACTATATCATTTTGCCACTCCATAAGATCCAAATCATACCGATTCAAATGACTAGCACCCACAGTGACCTTATCTGAACAATAATGTTTGGTGGATAGCGCTAAAGATCTCAGGAATATCCCAAAAGACAACCACTGTATATTGTGGCCTGGAGTACAAGTGTACAACCACTCGGGGATGTCCTGAAGGGTTGACGTCAGAAGCGGACAAGGGTGACTGGAAGTCGGCAGAACTCTGCTGGTTCGGTCTTGCCCAAGGCCACAATCTCTTGCCATTGGCAGAGAGGGGGTTCGGACTTGCCCAAGGCCGCAGAATCGAGCTCCAGATAACTCCTTATTTCATCTTATATTTTATAGGAAGCATTGCTATTCACACTATGTTTGGTTCAAGGAATTTGAGAGAGAAAAGAAAAGAAAATGAGAAGGAAAATATTTTTCTTGTTTGGTTAGAGAGGAAAAGAAAAGAAAAGTGGAAGGAATAGAAAAAGAGGAGGCAAAATGTACTAAGAGGAAGGAAAACCAAATTCCTCCTATTTTGGTGAGGAAAATGAGAGAAAACCATTTTCTTTTCTTTTCCTACCAAATTCCTTGAACCAAATATAGTGTAAAGGAAACAAAGTAATTACATAGCAAGCTCCCACACATGCAGCCCATGCTTCGAACATGCACGCCACCTTCCTGTTACGTACAACCGATGAAAGCACCTGTAAAATCAGTCAATCAATTGGCAACAGGCTTATCCTCAAACATGAAAGTTGGTAATGCCTCCAGAAAAGTGTCTTATGTTTCTCACGTGGTTTCAAATAACTGTCTTTCCAAATGTGCCCCGTTGTTGAGGTGGTCTCAAAGAATGGAAGCCCATGGGAGAGGCAATCATTGTTCCTTCATTGGTGGTGAGATCCACATTTCCATTGGCATGGTCACGTACTCCTGTTATGGGATTTCAACACATGAAACACATCATGTATTTTGCTACGGGCTAGTAGCTGAAGCTTGGATGCATCCTCCCCCATTTCCCAAGCAAGCATGCGATGTTGAAATGGTCCGAAGAACTAGGGTAAACTTTTGATGGCATTGAACAAAAGATAAGAGCAATTAGGATGAATGCCCACCAGAATACTATACCATATCCCCCAGAGGAAATGACATAGGTCAATGTCTATTATCATATTTCGCCTTCATGCGAGCTTGAGCCCATCGAACAACACAAAATGTCAAAGCTATCTCAGTCAATAAGGGCGCATTTGACCATATTCAATTTTGTTTTGCCCTAAGTAGCAAGTATAGGGTACCAATATATGGGCAGTCCCGTCCATACAACATGCAAAAAGGAGTCTCATTGAGGGAAGATATTTCAGTATTAAGTTACACACTTGTAAACGGAGCCTTGTTCTCTCCAAAGAGTCCAAAGGGATTATTATCCTTACACCTAAATAAATCAGTGTTCTCATTATATTCCATTCTCCATTTCTTAAGCCCCTCTACCACTTGGTATCAGAGGCTTTTCTTGTTCAACATGTTCAACACTAGAACTCCATCACAAAACAATCAACACCTCCCCCCCCCATACACGCACATGCCCTTAATCTCACCAAAACCCATCTCCAAATGCATTGACCCAACAGTTATCAACCATTGTCTCTCAACTCAAAACCCTTGTTACTCTTGCTGCTGACGTAGCTGCACCGGACACATTATGTTTAGCAGAATACGCGGCAAAAAGGTTCCCATGGCCATGAAGACAGAGACACGGAGAACTCACGCAGGTACCATCCTAGACATCGCAACAGTTCATTTTATACAATCCGATGGAGGTGGCCCTCATGGTTGGGCTTTAAAAGAGGAAAAATATTTCCAGCATTATCAGGTTCCTTACGAGTTCAATGTAAAGACTGCATGCATACATCTAGAAGTTGATACCTGGGATTTCATTCCTTGGATTAATGGTGAGATGAAATCATCCAATGAGACTTTCTTGTGCAAACTCTGCATGAAAATTATGGTCTGCCGGAATTTCTGCCCCATTAGGTAAGCAAGAACAGTTTCAGAGGACCGGTAAGAGTTTGCATGGAGGGCTGCTGGAGTAGAGGAACGGCATGATTACCTGAATATTGTTCGCATGGAGTATTTCATGCAGGCATCAACAACAAACTGCAGCCTGATGTTTGAATCCATAAGCCCAAGACAGTTTATAGAGCCATGAATTTGACACTTGAATTTGAAGCTAAGGAGACCTCAAATCTGGTTACCACCAAATTCGAATGAACCTCATTGGTGCATGAATTAGGACTTGAGAGGATATAATTCTTTCTTTTGGTGTGCAAGTTGGGAATGGGGATGTCATTCACCATTCAGTGCAATTGTATATGTTGGAAGGTATTAATAGAGTTACCTGGGCTGAAAATATGTTAGGACTATTACCCCTTTTCCTTTGGGGGGGGGGGGTGGTGGGGTGGGGTGGACCTGGTGTTGAGGGTTAACAGCTCGCATCTTTAGATACAGTCCAAGCCAACTAGAATAAGATGTTCATGCTTTTCTACTAGGATGGAAGGAAATACAAATTGCAAGGACTTCCATCCAAATCTAAGCCTTAGATTACACTTTAATCATAATCCAAGGTGCAATCAGACTTGGGTTATACACTTCCACAGTCTGATGATAATCATAACTTATTGCTAGCTTACCAAGATGTTTTTTCCGAAGCTACTTCTCTACCCTTCACTCAATAACACCCATGCAATTCCCTTTCTTCCAAATGCAACTCCGCTAAACATTCAACCCTAACGCTATCCACACTATCAAAAAGCTGAAAATGAAACCTAACATAATACCCAGTTGGCTTTGAAATCATAAAAATCAAGCCCTAGTCCCTTTGCTAGTCCAGTTTTGTTCGATAAGAAAAGATGGAACTTGGGGATTTTGTGCCAATTAAAGAAAACTAAACCATCCCCTACGAGTACCCAATCCCCAACTTTGATGAGCTTCTCGATGAACTCCATGGAGCAACCATTTAATAGATATCAAATCAGGTTACCACCCAATTCGAATGAACCCCGTTGGTCCATGAATTAGGGCTTGAGAAGAGATGGTTCCTACTTTTGGTATGCAGGTTGGGAATGGGGATGACATTCAGTGCAATTGAATATGTCGGGAAGGTAAGCATGGAGTTACTTGGGCTTAAAAAATCTTAGGACTATTTCCCATTTGGGGGGGGGGTGGCGGGGTGGTGGCGACGTTTGGTGGAGAGGAGGTCGAATGCTTGATTGGGTGGTCATGTTTGGTGCAGAGTTATAATTTTTTTTATAATGTTCAAATTTCAAATGTAAATATAAATAATTTATAAATTATAAACAATCTATCAAAATCCTATAAAATTCTGTTGATGAAATACAATAAAATCTATCTAACTCTGGATAAACTTAAAACAATCTATTGATTTTATATAATCCATAAATTTTTAACAATCTATCACAATCTTTTAAAATCTAGGTTGAATACACCCCCCTAAGACTCGGAATTATCTCCTGTCAAGTCCTATTTCATGCACCAACAGGGTTAATTCAATTTTGTGGTAACCAGATTTGAGGTCTATTAAATGGTTGCTCCATGGAGTTCATCAAGAAGCTCATCAAAATTGCAGATTGGGTACTTGTCAGGGATGTATTCTTCGTTTAAATAGTCGCCAACAGTGTATTGAATTGGGTTTCAGCTTCAGCTTCTTGATAGTATGTATAGTGATAGTTTCGAGTGTTTGGGAGAGTTGCATTTAGAAGCAAGGGAATTGCATGTGTGATCGGGTGATGGGCAGAGAATTAGCTTTGGAAAAAACATCTTGGTAAGCTAGCAATAAGCTCTAAATATCATCAGACTGTGGAAGGGTATTACCCAAGACTGATGGCACCTTGGAGTATGATTGAAGTTTAATCTTAGCAATAAGCTCTAAATATCATCAGCCTCAACTTCTTCCCCTTCCGTGCGCGAGGGCAGAGCGGTAGCAACCTCTTACTTTGTGGAATCCACACTGCAAAAGTGGAATTTGGAGTCAAAACTTGCGATTGTGTGGATTGTTGCTGCCATTAATTGTCTTTTCTTTTGAAATAAAAAATATAAAAATCTGAGGTCTTCCTTGTTCATCGTTGGCTAGATTGTGTGGTATTGGGATTCAAAATCTGCGAAGGTACTATTCACTCACAGACCATGTTTTGCGTTTTGGCCTTGATTCCTATCAAATTGAGCCTTGGTTCTTTAGGGACTTTGACCGAATTAGATAACTTCTCCTGTTTCTGAAGTTGGATTTCCAATTCAGCGATTTGAGGCACTTTGAGGTTCGTTGGTACTGTGCACTGCGTGAAGATGGAGAAGATGAAGAAGGAAATCCTGCGGAAGAAGAGAATAGGAATAGGCAAAATCTCAGGACTTTTTATAGGATTTAATACATGGATTTGTATTTATACCCAAGGCATAAAATCCATTGAAATCCATATTATTAAAAATCTTTAAAAATCTATCAATTTTTGAATACCACCTTATTTAGAAGGATTTTTTTAAATCTAAATCGAATGCACCTAGATTTTAAATGAGTTTTTAAATTCTGAATTGAATACCTACGGATTTTCAAAATCCAAAAAAATCTATCAGAATCCCGATTGAATACACCCCCCTTAGTGTGCAAGTTGGGAATGTATTCATGGTGTTACCTCAGCTGAAAATATCTGATGACTATTTCCCATTTTCCATTTGGGGTGGAGGTGGGAGGGGGGGCTCGTGTTGAGGATTAAATGCCTCGCATCTTTAAACACAGTCCAAGCCAACACGAATAAGTCATTCATGGGTTTCAACTAGAATGGAAGCAGATATAAATTGCAAGGAGTTCCATCCAAATCCAAGTCTGAGATTACACTTCAATCATACTCCAAGGAGCCATCAGCCTTAGGTAATACCCTTCCACAGTCTGATGATATACAGAATTTATTCCTAGCTTACCAAGATGTTTTTTCCGAAGCTACTTCTCTACCCCTAACCCGGTCACACACACACAATTCCGTTGCTTCCAAATGCAACTCTGCTAAACATTCGACCCTATTGCTATCCACATTATCAAAAAGCTGAAACTGAAACTTAAATCAAAACCGGTTGGCTTCGGATTCAAACAATCAAGCTCTAGTCCCTTTGCTAGTCCAGTTTTGTTAGTTAAAAAGAAAAATGGGACAGGGCAATTTTGTACTGATTATAGGAAATTAAACCATCCCCGACAAGTATCCAATACCCAACATTGATGTGCTTCTTGATGAAAAAGACGAGAAGTGTCCTATCAAGTTGGGGACTGTTTTTCTTAGGGTACAGTCGTTCCGACAACATCGTTGCAGTTCTCAATTTGGGCGGCCTACACTAGAAATACTAATACAATGGCGGAACTACCCAACCGAAGAGTCAATGTGGTAAGATTATAAATTGCTTGCTGGTCAATTTCAACCTTTCCATTTAGAAGACAAGGGGCAATTCCAGCGGGGGAGTACTGAACTACTGATAGCAAAATCACCCAACACCTATTCCAGGAGAAGGAGAAACCATGGAATAATGGGATCTTCCAAGTGGTAAACGAATCAAATCAAATATTCAAGAAAATTATTCGTATTTGTTATTTTTTTGTAGTATTAGAATTTGAATTTGACTCGAATATTTTCAAACATTCGAGTTTGTTAGTGATGTAGAAGGTATTCGGTTCGTTAAAATATTTGATATAATAATATTTGATTTGTTAAGAAATCATTTGGTTTGTTTATTTTTATTTTTTAAAATTAAAATTAATATTAATATTATTATTATTATTAAATACTGGAGTAGAATCGAATATATTCTTTTAACTTACGAATAGAATACACCTTGATTTGAATTCATAATAGTTAAGTATTCAAATATTTATTTGGATTCTGATTTGCATACGAAATAATCTATTAGGCATCACCAAATTCGAATAGGGATCACGAATTGAACAAAAAATGTTTGCTACGTTCAACCCTACTTCTGAGGAACATAGTGCACAATTGCACATGGCTGCACATTTTCATGATCAAAGGTTGCCTAATAGAATATTCTAAGGGTCAAGATCCATATTTCAATTGCCTGTAAATATGATGGAATATGTATCTTGATCATCTTGAGGGCAGGGATTTCAGAATTAAAATACACTTGTAAACGGAGTCGCATATTGTACCTCGGTGAATTTTATAATCCTAATAAGAGTTTGTGAATTCTCTAATACTGTTGATAGAATCTAGAATCGGGTAGGAGTCAGGGCCATAACACACTTGGATTGAACTAAATTAAAAGAATGAATTCAATCAATGACTTAGTTCAACTAAAGAGCTTATATACCGATTACTTTTCTCTTCAACTTCCGATGTGAGATAGACAACCGAGCCATTTTGAATCTAAAGGACCACGAGCCGTTGGGTGTAACCTTCCAGACGAGTAATTGGTTTAAACTAGCCACACGTCGTTGGATTTACATTCCACACAGACAACCAAGCTAAAGACTAGGGCTAAACTGGCTCTTATACCATGATAGAATCTAGAATAAGGCAGGGGTCACTGGACTAGGCCATAAGACACTTGGATTGAACCGCATTAAAAGATTGAATCCAATCAATTACTTAGTTCAACTCAAGGACTTATATACAGATTACTTTTCTCTTCAACTTCCGATGTGGGATACGGTCTTTTCCCATTGTGTGCCTCTGTGTTACTGTTTGTATGATTGAGAGTTCCAGAGCTTATAGGAACTTGTGAATCTACAAGGGCTTGATGTTGTTTTTGTCAAAACAAAGACATGCATCAGTTGAATTTTATAAATACTAGCCATATACTACTCGCATGTATTTGTATTTGTATCTGTATTTTAAAAGTAAACATATATAGCCGCATTATTAACCATTTTGAATTTCCAAATGCCAAATTAATATGAACAAATTTTTATCTTTTACATTCATGTCATGCATATAACTAAAAGAGGAAGCAACTATGTTAGTTGATACTTGATACACTAGGAAAATTGCTAGAAATGAACAAATTGATACTCCCATCCTGTATATAACTTATGGAGCATAGTGAATATGTAAAACGATGAAACGTTCAAAAAATAATACATCAAATACCTGTTGTATGACAAAAAGGCTTCCCCAATTGTTCCTATAACCTTGTTGCGTACCTTCCTTATACAAACCTAAAGTTTTATGGTTGAGAACTCAAATTTCCAAATTCCAAAGAACACCTGATCTTTTAAATGTTACACTCACCTGCACTAGGTCCAAAGGGCCAGCCTCAGGATCCCGATTGCGATGAATAACAATTCCGTTGTCACATTTGTTTATGAAATGTGCACTTCCACTGATATCATAAAGATTTGGAGGGCCTCCAGTCCATTGATGCAACTGTTAACACATGCAGAGTGGTTACTTTTTTGCGGTTAAGTGGAAGGTCTAACTTTAAATGTACTAATAGTACAATAGGGACATAGAGTACAAACTACCAACCTGACGTGGATGTGCTACAAACCAAACGTGACAAGAATGATGTTGGGCAAAACGCTTAATCTTTGTGAGCATTTGACTAACATACTCTGTTTCAGTCCTAAAAAACACTCAATATTTACTCTGGCATGACAATGCTAAAGAAAGAAGCATAAAGGCAACGAATATTTATAGAGGGGATGTAATCTTACACCACTCCAATTGGTGTAAGATTGTTACACCAATTCAATTGGAGCGCCTACGGTGCTCCGATCGTAAAATGGATTGTTCTATCCCACCTAATCCCCTGGTAAACCCTACCCGGCCTGGCCCTAACGCATCCCCGCACCCCTTTCAATTGCACCAAACAAATTTTAAGTACAAAAATTGACCATATAGTCAACAAAAATTTGGGTGGTAAAATTGGAAGGAGTGCGAGGATGCATTAAGAACAGGCCAGTATGAGGGGGATTACCGGATGGTTAGATGGGATAGGAACAATCAATTTTACAATCGGAGCACCGTAGGTGCTCCAATTGAATTGGTGTAACAATCTTAGACCAATTGGAGTGGTGTAACATTACTTCCCCTCATATTTATAACTCCAAAAGAGGTGGATAAACCAACTCACTGGCTTTGAAGACGTTGATGGTCGAGCTCATTATACGGATCAATCACAAGTCCATTCACACCATGCCTCAGAACTGCAGCTCTTGCAAGTTTAAGAACCCAGTCTATATTCGGTAGAGAATCATTCTCACACCTGAACAACATATATATTGAAGAAATGAACATCTGGTGAAAAGTACACATAAAAATTCAGGAATATATTTCAGATGAAAACACACATGTATTTGGATTCATAAAACATGCTTAAGGCAACACTTTTAGATTGTATGCAGCCCCTTTAAAATTTAATCAATCAAACACATCGAATATGCAGGACAGCCCAACCCCATTATTACATTCCTATGGGCTCTCAGCAAATGGGCTTACCTCTAGAATGAAAAAAGCCAACAGGCACAACTATAATTGCCTGTCATCTTAAAGGCACATGCGTTTACCTTGCAACTCAGATAGAGCATTGTACATTTTTCTCTAGTTACATTATAATGCAAACTCAAATTACAAAGTTACAAGGTGCAAAACATGACTGAATGTGAAAACAGGTGACCAAATGAAAGCCAATGCCACCTTATAAGAGAGAATGTACTACTTAGCCATTGCTTTCCCTGCTCAAATTCATCAAGGCTCATTCGCACATCAGATTTCCCATACCTGCAATAAAATAAACGGTTTAGATGGTTAAGAGCATATCTGAAATTTTATGGATTTTGCTACAACCATTATGTTCTGAAGGAAAAAGGAGATTTACTGCCTCTTCATCACTCCTACCTCGGCATTTCAAAGAAATGCAGGCGATGAAGCATTCAAATGCATTTTTGCTCTGTAGAGTGTAGACAAACTTAATAGTACAGGGAGCGAAAGAAGAGCAATTTTCATTTGGAACCATCTCCATAGCCATCAAATTTTCTGACAGAAGTTTGACATTTGGGCATAGAGCCCCTGATATCCATTTAAGTCTGGTGCATCATTTATCTCTCAAGGGAAAGGTCTTCTGATTTAAGTTTCAATTTTCCTCTCTTGTTAGTTGACTAGATTATGTGTATCTTGTTTTTTACGTTGTAATATGAAAGATTATGGCGCATCGCCCTATACACTTCTTCGGTTGTCCTGGATAAAATAAAAAAATTCCTGAGTGGGCAATGATATTCACATAAACACCCTATTCTACGGATCTCTATCTCTCTCTCTCTCTCTCTCTCTCTCTCTCTCTCTCTCTCTCCCTCCCTCCCTCTCCCCCTCACCATCAACCAACAACAACAACAAAGCCTTATCCTACTAGGTGGGGTCGGCTACATGGATCAAACGTCGCCATTGTGCCCTATCATGTATCATATCTATTGTGAGATCATTAACGTGAAGGTCCCCCACCATCAACCAAAAAATAAAATCAAAACAAAGGCAATATGTTTCTCCTAGTTGGGAATGTCCACGTATGCCTTAAGTAATCACCTAACACAAACAAAGACGAAGTTCTATAAGTTCTTAAGTGAAGCAATAATGTGTATCGGGTAGGTAAAGAGCTGAATATCATTAGCACGTGGTACAATTAGTATGTATATATGTATGCTTAATGGGCTTTGAGCCGTAATGCACTGTAACCATAATGTAACTTTAATTATGGCAAGTTGCCTCACAATCCTCACAATTGCACATGGTATCACAGCAGAGATTTCCCTAATCTAAAATTTAACTTTCTGTTTTGGCCTACATGTATGGCATCTCTCCCACTTGTGCTTTGGACTTTCCTAATCACACATTTAAATTTTGACTCATCCGCATCTCACACCACTGCTGAAGCTTCTATCTCTGCATCTCTCTCTGTCTCTACGCCCATCTCTGCGCCGGTCCATGTGACTCCCTTACTATGTCCAACTACTACACTCAGGGGGTGAACATGCTCTCTCTCCCTCTTCTCATAGCACCTCTACCTCCGTCGCTTGCATCACCTTCACCGCTCTCACATAGTCACACCCAGCACCTCTTTTCCCATTGATTGCTAACTCAGGTTTTTGCTCTCTTGTTTTCCCTACTTGACCGTTGTTATGGGTCAAGCAGCCTGGCACCAACACTTTGGCCTATTTGTGGAGCGGCCATCATACTCCCCGTCTTGGATTACTGTAGGTCTATTCTCACTCCAAGTCTAATTGTGACTAACATTGTCATAATGCAACTTGCTAGACGAAGGACAACCTTGGAAAACTAGTAGGAGCACCTTGATTGTTCATGTTCACTACACTAATTAACAGAATATGCTCATTATAATAGTAACATATGTTTATAAGGGTGCTTCTAATAGGGGCTTGAAAACCTGGCCTGGGAGACTCAATTCACTTTTATTTCCTGTAACGCCTGTTGCTGTTAACCCATCCCAGCGGTTAATATTTAATTAGTTCTTTTGTTATGTTTATTTTTAATAATTATAATTATATACGTTTAAGCGGTTAGTTCAGACATGGTACGTGTAGGAGATCAAGTAGAGTTGAGTGGTGAGCGGCGAAATAACTAATTAGTGTATGTCTATTTAACTGGTGTACCTCTTAATTAATTTAGAAAGGTTAGGGATTTAATTTGGGGACAAGAGTTTTGGTAAGAGTAGGAGACAAACGCTATTTAGAATTCCTAAATCATTAACATATTTTTTTCCCTATTCTAAAGTATTATTCACTCTCTCCTGACCCCCCCCCCTAAACCCGCAAGAAGAAGAAAGAAGTTAGCATGGGGTTGATGCTAATATCATCTTATCTCTCTTTCTGTTCTTATTTGTTTGATCAATAGGTGAGTATGGCTACCCCATAATTGGCAATCTTGATTGTATGTGCTGATATGCATGCTCGGTGAGTATATGGGTTAAAGGTTTCTTACGTTGTATGATTTGGGTTAGAAGATTTGCTTTTAGGCATGGAAAGGTTAACTATATGGGTTTGTTATAATTGTTGTATATGGATATAGTTTGTGTTGGGAAAGCTTGGCAATGTTTTCGTTGTTCAACTAACGTTCCGATTTGCACTTGAAGTACGCCAATAATACTAGTTTCGGTAGTTTATATTTTATAATTATCGCCCGAAGGCCCTAGAGACATTGGGTCTATTTGGCAACAACGTTAGAGTTTAGAGTTAGCGTTTTGAAATGGCTATCTAACGACAGTGTTTAGCTTTTGCATTTTCAAAGTTAATCTACACCATTAAAATTTTATCCAAAACGCTAACACCAATCATAAACATTAACCAAAACAAGGCTACTGTACTTCGAAGTCAGCTTTGAAGGTAGGTGGTACAAGATGGTTTTACCTTCTGCATTCGTTACTTCAAAGCCATGCCCTCCATGGGTTTGTTCATACCCACTTCTATCCTTTCCCACGTGTACGTATAAATCTCCTCCCAAGAAAACCTTATCTCCTAATGGTATACCTTGTAATACACCTTCAAAGTCTTCCCAAAACCTTATCTTGTGGTGTTCCTTTGAACTAACTTGTGGTGCGTAGGCACTAGCCATATGAAGACCCCGTCCTTCTACTACCAGCTTTAATGCAACGATCTCCCACCTTCTTCTTCCATTGTTATCTACAATAATACAAACTCCATTTCTGTTCTTCACCTTTATACCATAGCTTGAAGCCTGAAGTGTCTAACTCCCTAGCCTTTGCTCCAACCCACTTTGTTTCGTGCAAGCACATAATATTAATCCTTTTCCATATCATAGTATCCACCAGCTCCATAGATTTGCCTGTTAGTGTGCCTATGTTCCATGTCCCAAACCGCAACTTATTTTGACCTTTACCTTTGCATATATGAACTAGCGTATTTACCCACGTCCATTCACCAAAACAAGGGTAAAAAATGGTACGATTCAAAATAAGTAGAAAGCAAAGTACAATTGTACACTTAAAGTAAAAAAGCAAACAAAATAAAGAAAAATGCAAAGGGAGGCACGAAAAATGTTTTCACAAATAGAACAAAAATGAAATAAATAAGGTAGAAGGGAGAAACTTCTAACATTGTATGGGAGGGTGCGACATCAGACAAGTGGCATTGAACGGCGACAATCGGATCCAACATTGCAAGGTTTATCCTTGAATAACTATTTTGTTACTGAATTTCTTTGCATCAGACAGCTCCAAATTGGGGTATTTGTTAAATAAATAAAAAGATAAGGGGATGTTTGACTTTACAAAACAAAATTGACGTAAAAGATTCCTTATTTGGCGCCCTTGAATGCCAAGTTGTCACCATGTCTACACCATGAGACACCATCTCTCCTTCACGCAAGGCGAACGAGAACGGCGAGAAGGAAGCACCAAGATGCCTAGGTGATGCCTAAACACTATATACTACAGAGTATACAACTTAGCCTTCTTTAGGGCAAGTAGCCTCATAATTGCATAATATAACTCATTACCACGTACTACAACATTTTCTTGCTTTAGTCAATATTAAGCACATGCGAACAATTAATTAGAGGGCAAGTTGCCTTATAATTGCATGGTAGTAAATCATTAGTACATGCAAAAATATTTCCTTCATTTAGGCCATGTTCTTTTGGGTTGGGATTTTTAAGTTTGATGTTGGAAGAAACTAGAAGGAGTTGGGAAAAAATGGAAAGAGTTGCAAAATGTTAGAAGAATTAAAGTATTAAAAAGTCACTCAATTTAATGATCACCCAAATAAATATGTAAGAAAACGTTAATTTTGGAATTTTTTTTATCCTTGCCCGTGTTTGAAGTGGTATGTTATAAATTTAGATATATAATTTCATTGTACATTCGTCATGTATAAATACCTTCTTTAAGACGTTGGAAGAAACTGGAAAGAGTTGAAAAAACTAGAAAGAGTTGAAAAAAGTTGAAAATTAATTTTTCCAACCATAAAGAATAGGGTCGTAGTCATTATTGACCACTTGGGAACAATATAATATCATTTAGGACTTCGGAGCATAGTTTTCAGAACCGAACCGGTGATCGAACCAGTGGTTCGAGTGGTGGTTCAAACATCTTTAATATATATATATATATACACACACACACACACACACACGTTTGGCATTGAATTAAAAAAACTAATATATAAGTGAACAAAAATCTATTTCCTCTATTTATAAATAAATAATTGATAATTGACTAAATTTATAATTAACTTAATTTACTTGAGTTGTGTCATCACATAAAAAAAATCACATATTTAGAAAAACTTATAAATAAAAAGTGATTTGATTTTTAAAAACATTTTACCTAGTATTTAAAATATATATATATATATAGGGGCCGGTTCCCGTAAGAATGCACCTTGTGGAGAGAAATAAGAATAAAATCTAGTCGTCGTATCTGATGCATCATGCGGCTCAGATTGCATCTTGCGCTCAGATTTTGATATAGTGCATTTTCGAAGGTTTATGGTGCATTTCGACGTGATGCATTTTCGAACCATTTTGGTGCATCTAAGTTTGATGAAATCTTGACCCTTAGATCTTACAATCTAAAGCACTAGATTCATTCTCATTTCTCTCCTAAGATTGCATTCTCACCAGAACCAAAATCTATATATATATATATATATATATATATATATATTATTTGTGTGATATGCACTTCATCTCAATTATATCAATGGGTTTTGAATTTTAGTTAACAAAACTCTATATTTTCTAAAAGTATTTGATAAAGAATTTTGTAACTAAAGAATATTAAAGACAAATAGCAAAGAGTTAACACCAAGCATTGTAGCAGAGATGGTTAGAAGCATGGCCCTTTCTATCTTGAGGTCTTGGGTCCGAACCTGGGCAAGTGCTTTTTAAAGAAGTTCACAAAAAAAAAATTAAAAAACCGGTTCAGTGGTGAAACCGGCTGGTTTTCTCTGATTTTAACTGGTTTCCGCCAGTTCATTGCTGGAGCCGGTCTGATTGACTGGACCGGTTTGATGCACGGTTCACCGGTTTCGGGTCCGAACCGGCCGGTCTGGTCCGGTTTTCAAAACTATGCTTGTGAGGGTACCATATATGGAACTCACTTAAATAAAAAAAATTAAAAAGAAACATGCATTTATCCTTGTTCTATCTTGCCTGACATCAAAAAAAGGCTTCCTTATGTGTTTCTCCAAGAGTTTCCTAGCGTGCTCCCGAACCTACAAACAGGTAAACCACATACAATGATTAGAAGAGCTGAAAGGGAGGTTCTGTCAACTTACTCCTCTTGCCTAAAGAGGTGTGAGCCTAGGATAAATGGTTTAATTTGTGAGCTTGAAATATTTGTATTACTAGGTAAGGTTGCGTACGTCTTGACCCCCCCCCCCCCCCTCCTCCCCAAAGAGCCTAGTTGTGTTGGGATTTTACTATGTTTGTTTTTCCAGTTGTTGATGTTAGATTTTTTATTAACGGGTTTAAGATATTTAAAGACAACTTTAGTTATAATGTAAACTTAATATCATTAGATGCATTTTAAATTGATTCTTTCAGAATACTATAGGTTTGTAATGTTTATCAATCTATAATTACATAAATCATTAATATCAATGGTCAAAGTGTTGCATTTGTGAGAACGAAAGTCAATAAGAACTTAATGTGGCTAGTGCCTATGCACCACAAGTTAGTTCAGACTTCAGAGGAACATCTTGGTGCTATAACCGTTTTTTGCAGCATGCTACACCAATATCCGAACAAATCCGAATCAGTTATTTTTTAAATCAACATATTTTTAGCCGAATTTGATTGTTTTATAAAGCCAATAAGAAAAATTATGCATGTATAATGTATTATCATTATTGGTTTAATAATTGATTGCAAGTTATCATTTAGGCTAAAACAAACAAGCTAACCTTGTTCTCCATAGAGCAAAGTGCAAATTTCCAGCCAACATTTCTATTAAGGTTGCATAGAAGTGCATCAATCCATTCACTCTTTCCTGAATTAGGAACTCCAGTAACTACAGTCAACTCTCCTGGTACAACCTGGTCAGAAAAAAAGGATAATTCAAATTCTCCGAAAGAACCATTTCACATGCATGATAGCAGTCACTCAATGTAATGGTTCTTGCTTGTATCTGTCAAACACTATTAAATATTTTACTCAATAAAACACTCATGAGCTATCCTTGGGAAAGGTCTTAGTTAATGTCTTAATGTTCTATGGCAGATTAGTGGAATAAAAACATACTCCATGATGTAATTACAAACATGAGAAGTTATATCACCTTATTTGTTTGAAAATGATTTATAACCTTTTCCCAATTCAAACGCACTAAAGACAATAGGGCACTAGGGTTTGTGTATGTGATGCCTGCATTTGTAAATTGTACTAATAAGATATGAGTTGGGCCAAGACCCACGATTCTTAGGGTTTACAAATTACAATCAACATCACCCCCAAAGTGGTAGACTTGTAGCACATAGATTACATACACCAAGCTTGATACAGATATATTTTATGTTAACTTCATTACCAATGGAACTAAAAGACCAATAGAGCATCTGGTGAGAAGGGTTGATCAAATGGTGAATAGACATGTGGCTAGAGGAAGAGGTAGATCTAAGAAGACTTGGCACGGAGTGGTCATGGAGGACCTTCGCGTGAATGATCTTGCTGCAGGTATGGTACATGATAGGACGGAATGGCGTCGTTTGATCCATGTAGCCGAGCCCACCTAGGGCCTTGTTGTTGTTGTTGTATTACCAATGGAACTAAAAGAGACTTATTTACAATGTTTTAGCTCCCAATAAATAATGAACTAAATCAAATAGCACAAAACACTTCCATTGCTTCCCACTTTCTATGAAGTTTAAGGTGGCAAATGCAAAAATGCATCAATCAAGGGTCTACTGAAACACACTCAGTTTTCACATTGATAAGATTGTGACCATCTTGACCCCAGAGGCAACAAAGTTGGGATTAAACTTTGTTGTTAGGACATCTAAGAGGCTAGAAAGAATATCTAACAATTGATCTTCAAAGTAAAGAAAGCTTGAGATAGTGCAACTACACGTGGTCATTTTCCATGTGAAAAAAATGTGTTGCATTTAGTCAAAAATCATATACAAGCAAGTCTTATTTATACAAGTATGAAACAACATGTCATCTAGGCATGATACTGATGGTACACTGAGGTAGAAGTGGATTGTAGACTGGTGACTGGTGATTAACCTACCAATGCCATTTGGGCCATGTCACCATATTGTAATTCCTAAAGTGATTCTAACATGTCACAATGAATCTAGAACGAGTCTTGAAAAGGGAGTCATTGTAACACTTGAAGCTTTCACACTTGGTCAGACACATGATTTCATGGGAGCCTCTGATTGAGAGTGAAAAAGGAAACAAAGCATTAATATCAGAGATGCCTGAATGGTGCAAGAAATAAAGTAGGGTTAACAAAAATGAATTGCTGTTTGTGTTCTGAAGATTGAATAATAACATCAATATTCATTTAGAAAGAGGGAATAGCCAGAGAATACTTAAGGAAAACATTGTTGAGCGCTTGGAAACTAGTTTGCATTGTGCTTGGGTTGTATCATGAGTAGCACGCACATACACACACACATCAAAATAAATTAGGAAGAAAAAACTTAATAATGGGAAAGGGACGAGTAACGACTAAGTTCACAAAGAGAAAGAAAAGATAAGAAAGGTCAAATGTTATTCCTTTATCTCCTCTAAGCCTCATCTCAAATAATGGGAATAACGACAAGTTGGAGTGGCTCGTTTGGTCACCACCTCCAACACTTAAGACCCTTCTTTGCGAGGTCTTGAATCTTGAGTTCGAGTCACAGGGAGGCGAGGTGAAGAGTTTTTCCATCAATAAGCATCTAGCTCCTGCATTAGCTCTTTGGTAAGATCAATTGCGGATATCTCATTTCCAACAGTAGTGTGGGAGCTTGGATCTACTGAAAACCTGAGGTGAATAACAGAGGAACCAACAAAATCAATGAGATGAAATCAATGAGATGCTGACTGGTTAGTATGTGATGACTCCTTGTGTGCAGAAGTATACTGGTTATGTAAAAACTTGAAGGACAAAAGAATCCAGATTTATCTGCTCCACGGTTCTTTGGTGGGGTCTTAGACGCTTAGGGTCTGTTTGGTTGGAAAGAAGGGGAGGGGAAGGAAACTAAGCCCCTCTTCTTGTTTGGTTTTAAAAAATGACGGGAGGGAGTCCATAATTTTAGCTTCACCTCCTTCCCTTCCTCCCCAAATCAATCCCTCCAAATTGAAGGGTATCTCATTCCCTGTGCTCTTCTTCCCGTCATTCCCAGGTCAATTTTATGGAATTTACTCTTAAAAAAATAAAAATAATAATAAGATTAAATATAATAACAATAAAATAAATAATAATAAATAAATAAATAAAAATAAAAAATAAAAATATTTAATAAATAAAATAAATAATTTAAAGTATTAAATAATAAAATAATAATATTAATAATAAACAGATAAATCTAATTATAAATTACAAATTAAAAATAAATACTCCCTCCGTCTCCTTATATTCGTCCACTTTCATTTTGACACACAAACCAATGTAGTGAGTAAAAAGACACAATTACCCTTGAACTACCATGCTAATTTTCTCCGCCATCCAAGCCTCCTTCAACCGCCCCAACATATTCCCTCTGCCACCCCAGCCTCCCAATCCGTCATCAGCCCGACGGTCTCCCCCATGTATATGATGTCTAGCCACCACCCAGGTTAGCGCCAATCAAAGTTTAAACAAAAACTAGCTAGAGTAGAGACATTATGCTAAGATGAGAAACCAATCGAAGTAGAACACAAAATCCCCACATTCTGATCTAAAATTAGCTCTAGATTTTAGAAGAAACATTAGGTCAGGATTTCGAAACAGAATACAAGCCACGATTTCATAACAAAAGCAAATTAGGAATTACAAACTAGACATTAAGTTTTAAATCTAGATCTTGAGAAGAGATTCAGCCGCTGTCGGAGAAGGCATCTGCCCGCCATCCTGCACTATTAGTTGGCTTTTTCAAAGAAATCCCACTCCGGCAATATTGATACTCTGTATGTCGGAGAAGACAAGATGAGGGAGACCAATGGAGAGACATGAGACCATGAGAGAGAAGGGGATTGGGTTTGATTCGATTGTTGGAAGAAAAAATAGATTTGAATAAGTGTAAATGACAAGGGCAAATTGGACATTTCACATTATTTTTCTTACCTTAATAGGAAAGTGGACAAATCCTGAGGAACGGTTCAAAAGGGAATACTGGACAAATACTAGGGGACGGAGGGAGTAATAATAATAGTAAAAATAAAATGATAATAATAGTAGTAGTAATAATAATGATAATTATAATAATAATAATGAAATTAATATAAATAAAAATACTTGAAATAAATAATAAATAAGAGATAATAAAAATTAATTTTTTTCTTTTCCCCTCTTCCAACCAAACGAGGTGTAGGAAAGCCCTCTCATCCCTTCCAATTCCCTCTCATCCTTTCCTTCCCCTAACCTCCCTCCCAAACAAACAGGCCATTAGGATTAGTCCAACACAAGTTGGAAAACCTAATGTATCAAAAATTTAATGGGAATAACTACCTATAAATAAATAATGAAATAAAAGTATTATTAAATACTCGCAAATAGAAAATATCCAAAATAAGTAAATATATAAATATAATTCCTAAAATTTTCTAACTTCAAGAAATCATCCATTATCTCACTCATCCTATCGGTATTCTATCCATATCAGGTCCTTAGAAATTCACCCCGTACTCAAGGTGAACCAGAAGACACATGTTTGGCAAGAAAGCTCCAAATTAAAATCTGCTTTTGCTTACTGTTTCAGTAAACAAAATTGGATAAATAGCATAAAGGCCCCTGGATGATGCCATGAATTGTGCTGCATCTCACGAAAATAGAATTTTGGTTCCCTCTTTCTTTATTCTGTCATATCATCCTTGGCTTCCATCATAGTTGAATTATACAGATAATTTAGTCTTGAAACTTAACTGTATCGCTGCAGCAAATATCACGAGTAGGACTAAGATGAGGTTGGAAGAAGAGAGTGAGGAAGCAAGATGAAATTTTTATTTCGATATGATGAATCTGGAACGCACTACCCTTGGATAGGATGGCTCTGATACCAACTGACCAGGAACCAAAATATGAGGGTAAAATGAAAAGGATAAATTGTTATCAATTCATAAAATCAGAATCTAATCATATATAATACGTAGTAATAAAGATGAAGATAATTCTTTATTAGAGAATAAGCAAGTATCTTGAACTCATCCGACTAATAACACCAAGGATGTAACAGGAAGAGGAGAGATACCCTTATTAGAGCTATGTGAGCCATATGCTAATGGACTTGGATGGCTAGAAATGAGTTGCTCTACAAGAAGAAGAGTACTTCAGCTAAGGAGAGTGCAGACTGCAGAAATTGTAAAGAATCATCTCAAGGTGTATTATTCTAGCACATTCAGAGGGTGGAAAAGTGATTTTTCTTTCCTTCGTTTGCAGGCTTTTGTTTGATTGTTTTAGGTGAGTGAGTAGGCTTTTGGTTTTTTTGAAAGGTGTTGGAAGGGACTGCTTTCTTTCCACTCTCTTTTGGGACTGTGCAGTTAAAAAAGCTCTGCCAAGTTCCAAAAAAGATCACTAACTTCTCCAAATCCTCCATTATCTCACTAATTTGTATTGTATCAGAAGTATGTGATGAATCAGGGACTATACCAGTAAAAGGATGTGTGCCAAAAGATGCTTCAAAAACTCATGCAGAATGAATGTGACACCAATTCAGATCTGCTAATGCTTGTTGATACCATCATTCTTAAGTTTTGTATGTTACCATTTAAAAAGTTTTATGATATAGGTTGCATGAAGCACAAAAAAACTAGTCACACTTTTACAAATTATTTTGATTTCGATAAGTACCAACAAAATACTGAAAATCGCCTTTTCTAGTTTGCATAATCTTGTTTTTAGTTTTCAAAAATAGTAAAAACCCTTTTTAAATTTGGGAAACAAAAAAATACTAAAGAAGCCCCTAATAGTGAAGTTCATAAATTTAAATAATGTAGCTTTAAATGGTTAACATAATAACATTTACAATAATGGATCCGAAAGCCATTTTGGAAGTTGAAAAAGTTACAGGGAAATAAATTCCTGAAGCTTTAGGTGGAGGAAGTGACACTTAAGCAGTTAAGCCAATAAGCCTAGAAATTGTAGGTTTTAATAATAACTTTGAACAGGGGTCATTGTTACAATCAATGCTAACTATATATTTGAATCATATATGAGCAGATAAAAAATGCCACAACCTATTACTACCAATGACACACCCAAAATCAATAATCTAGACAATATTGCCCTTACGTGGACAAGATAACACTCTTGTACAGTAAAAAAAATGGTCAGCATCAGTAAAGTGTCCCATTTTATCTCATACTCTAATTCAAGGGTGACCTCAAATTTGATTTGACATTTTGACGATAAATAACCTCTTCAGAGAATGTGAAAACGTGAAATTAAAAATGCTCAGTCACCAAAAAGGGTCATGTTTGAGTAAGGTAAACTTTTATCTTTAGTCAACTCAATCAAGGGTCACCTAAGGCTCTGTTCTTTTCGGTTGAAAAAATTAACTTACAACTTTTTCCCAATCCTTCCTGTTTTTTCCAACTCCTTCTTTCTTCCAACAACAACTTGAAAATGTATTCACAAATAATGACTATACAATAACATTATATATCCAAATGTATAACATAAGACCTCAAACACAGACAAAGGTGAATTCTTTTTTATATCCAAAATTAGTTTTCTTACATATTTATTTGGGTAATCATTTAATTCAATGATTTTTTAACACTTTATTTTTCCAACATTTTTTAGCTTTTCATGTTTTTTCCAACTCCTTCCAATTTCTTCCAACTTCTTCCAGTTTCTTTCAGCATCCAACTTTAGAATTCCAACCAAAAAGAACAAAGCCTTATTCTCCTAAAACTTATGTCCGAGATTGTTTGGGTCTTTGGGAAGATAGACTAAACCAGATTATAGATTGGCTTAATGGATGATCCAAATCGTTGATCCTTACGATCCGGAGAAGAATTGCAATTTTCCACACGAGCCAGATCGGAAACACCCGAATCGTACAATCGTACGATCTAGATCGCGATCTTGACTACCATGGTTTGGGAGGATAGACTAAACAAGATCATAGATTGGCTTAATAGATATATTTAAACCGAGCTCTCGTTTTAGGAGAGAAAGTTCTTGATAAATGATTTTTTGGTAGACAGAGGAAGAAGAAAATTCAAAAATTAAGAAAAATGTCTTACATTGTATAGTTCATTCAGTGATTTCCATCCAGTTGAAACCCCAAGATCAAAAGCAACTGTTTGATAAAAGTATGAATCAATCTCATCAAAATAATCTCTGAAGTTGAACAGCCCCTTTATGGGATATAGCTCAGCATTCTCAATGACCTCCCTCAGTACATCAGGTCCAAGGTACATAAGCACCTAATGACAGGCATGAAATGCAGCAGAACTCCAATGTCAGGAAACAAGAGCAATAGCTTCTTTGTTAGTTAAAAAAACAAGGGCTATGTAATACGCAAATGGAGCAATAAAAGATTTTAACATTTACTATTCACATGGTAAAAAATTTTTACTTTCTTTGCATTTTTTTGTTACTCATTCGATAAAATAATATACTCATGTAACCTTTAGTTTTGTAGAACTTTTGGTGTAGTTCTTTAATATATGAATTATCAAATAAACTCTCAAAATTACAAAAATAGACATATATTAAAATTTTATTGTTATTGCTTAAGTGGTCAATATTGGGGAATTATAAAATTTTAAAAGAAAAAAAATTACCTCAAAAAAACAAGAAAACTTATATATATGCTCCCTTCGTCTCGAAAAAGATCACACTGTTTTGGCCTCCCGATAAATTTTATTGGTTTCCATGTTTTTGTTGACCATTTGAAAAAATAAAATTTTCTTGTCACCAATAAAATTTTATTGGTTCAACCCAAGTGTCTTATTGCCCAATCTAGTTGTCTCTACCCAATCCTAAATTCTATCATGGTATCGGAGCAGGTTTTGGCCCACCTCGTTTGTCAAAGTGTCCGTCTAGACGTTCATTTCTAGCGGCCCGTTTGTCTTTAGCCCAGTGTCCCGTATGGAGTATGTATCCAACGTCCTGTGGCTCGTTTAACATGATTGCTCGTCTGGAAGTCCATACCCAGCGGCTCGTGATCCTTTAGGTGTTGGCGCTAAAAAAAATAAAGTCAAGGGAAAGGGAGTTCATTTGCAAGTGGTCAACCGGTTAGATTCAAAATGGCCCGGTTGTCCACTTGAGGGGGAGTGTTAGAGTGTCATCCCACATCGGAAGTTCAAGAGCAAAATAATCGGTATATAAGCTCTTGAGTTGAACTAACTAATCGATTGGATTCAATCTTTTAATGTGGTTCAACCCAAGTGTCTTATTGCCCAATCTAGTTGTCTCTACCCAATCCTAAATTCTATCAATATGTAAGTAGCATTTTTTATTTCTATAACAATTTGTAACTAAATTAAATTTAAAATGCACAGGTTTTGCACGTTCTTCAAATTGTGTGATCTTTATTGGGACGGAGGATGTGTGTGTGTATATATATACACACACACACACACAACAACCCAATTGAATTCCACTAGTGTAGGGTCTGGGGAGGACGTGTGTACGCAGACCTTACCCCTACCCAAAGGTAGAGAGACTTTTTCCAATAGACCCCTAGCTCAAGTGACATGGGTAGCACAAACTCGCAGAAGACACATACAACAAAGAAACACAAACACAAAAAGCTAAGAGAATTAATATTAATGAGAAAGAGGCATAGCAAGTAGAAAGCACAAAGCAAAAAGTAACAAAACTATCACCGAGTCCAAGACACCTATCCAACTACTCTAATTCTACAACCTTAGCGTAGCTTCCCACAACTTATCCTCAACCATTGTCACTCCCACTGACAACCTCATTCTGAATCCTATCTAACCTCGTCTTTCCACACATCCAGTGCAACATTCGCATCTTTGCAGCATCCAGTCGACGAACATGGTTCTTCTTAACTGCCCACCACTCCGCACCATACAACATAGCTGGTCTAACTACAGAATGATAAAACTTGCCTTTCATCATAGCCGAAATCTTTTTATTGCACAAAGCCCCAAAACCAACCTCCATTTCGCCCAAGCCGCTCCAAACGATGTGCAACATCCCCGTCTAAATAGCCATGCACCTAAATGGTCGATCTAAAATACTGAAACAGGTCAACCTAGGGCACAAGGTCGGGATCAATCCTAACTTCTACCTCTGAGTCTTTCACTCAGTCAATAAAAAAACATTCCATGTATTCAGCCTTAGTCCTACATAGTTTCAACTTTCAAGCCTTTACATTCCGGGGCAATGCGCCAATCTCCAGCTTGTCATTAGGTCTCTCGTGTGTGTCGTCGATCAACACAATATCGTCAGCACATAATATGCACCAAGGAACATCCCCTTGAACTTCCTACGAAAAGGCATCCATCACTGGAGCAAACAGGAGAGGCTAAAGACAAACCCCGGTGTAATTTCACCTCTACATAGAGTTACCCCGACAGTCTTTACCCTAGTCCTTACCCAGTCGTACATATCCGTCATGTGTGTGTACAAATGTATATATGTATATGTGTGTCTGTGTGTATAATTTATATATATATATATATATATATATATATATCTATATATATATATATATCTATATCTATATCTATATCTATATATATATATATATATATATATATGCGGCGAGGATCTTTTGACCTTAGGTTCTTGAGATATATTATAACCCGAGGCTCCTACGGTGCTCCGTTCAAAAAATTGATAGTTCATACACCTCTTAACCCCCCTCTTAACCCTACCCCCTGCCCACCCCACCACAGCACCCCCTGCCCCCCTCCCCTCCTCCCCGATTCGCCGATTGGCTACAGCAATGGGGGAGGGGGTGTTGTGGTGGGGTGGGCAGGGGGTAGGGTTTAAGAGGGGTTTAGGGGGGTAGAAACCATCAATTTTTTGAACGGAGCACCGTAGGGGCTAAGGTCATGATATGACCCGAGATCATAAGGTCAAAAGAACCGTTTTGGTATATATGTGTGTGGGTGTGTCTATATTAATTCCGATGAGATTGAGATCTTAGGAGAGAAATGAGAATGCATGTGGTAATTTAGAATGTGAGATCCATGAGCCATAAGAATTTGAAAATTAAGAAAAAATTAAAAAAAATGCGGTGTCACTTTTGTAATTTAATTGAACTTTAATACGTATGTATGTATGTATGTATGTATGTCATACATACATACATACATACATACATACATACATACATACATACATACATACATACATACATACATACATACATACATACATAC